CTTGTGTGAGTTGCGAGACACACAGCTCATAGTATTATGTACGGTGAATATAGATGCTAAATCCTCTGTGTATCAGGCACACGTCGCTCGAGCTTCAAAAAGTTAACACGTATGGCCTCATGTACATTTGGCAAGGCTCAGACACGAGTCTGAAGCCCCTCTTGCTTATGAGCCATTATGGTATGTCACGCAGGCCAAGTATATTGACCCTCTGATAAATCCCATCTTAGATGTCGTCCCCGTTCCCCCCTCCAGCGCCGACCAATGGACCCACCCCGCCTACTCTGGCTATTTCGACGGTCGGTCTCCCACTGCCGCCCTTCTGCGTCATCCTCACTCTTGTATGATTCCCAGGCAAAAATATCTGGGGACGCGGCAGCTGGGACGACAAAGCCGGCGTTATTAGCAAACTGTGAGGCGCTATGACGTTCCTCGCTCTTTCGCACCCACTGAATCGGAATTTCCAGACTAACCATTGAAGTTCTTCTCGAGAAGAAATTTGTCCCTACGCGCACGGTCGTCCTCTCCTTCGGATTCGACGAGGAGACGAGTGGAGCTGAAGTAGGTTTTCTCCTCCCACTTGCTGAATCTCTCATAATAAAATGCGTAGGGCGCAGGTCACCTTGCCCCTGCACTCCTCAAGCGTTTTGGCCCCAATTCATTCGCCATGATCCTCGATGAGGGTGGTGCGTGCTCCCGCCCTTGTTGCCTCCCCCACATAAATCTTGTCCGCAGGGGGAACCGCGGAGCGATTTGGTGGACTGTTCGCTTTACCCAGTATTGCGGAGAAGGGATTCGCGAATGTCAAAATCGAAGTGCAGACGCCTGGCGGCCACTCGAGGTGCTGGCCCTTTACACCCTGCCTTTATATCTGTTCTCATTTGCCGTACAGCGTTCCGCCGGAGCACACTAGCATCGGCATGCTTGCTGCTCTCATTGTCCACTTCGAGAACAACGCCCCTGTAGCCTCCCTCGAGGCCGACACGCCCATCTTCGAGACGCTTGAGTGCTTGGCCGCACACGCTCCCGACATGCCGGGCTTACTCAAGCGGGCAATTCTGAGCGCCAGAACCAGCCCCGTTGCCTTGAAAGCCGTAGAGGCGATCCTGCTGAAGGATCCCATATCTAAGGCGATCGTAGGGACAACACAGGCGGTGGACGTCGTCAGCGGAGGCGTGAAGAGCAATGCGCTGCCTGAACAGGCACAGGTATGTAGCCTAATTTGCCGGTAAGCCGACAACTCAAGCACGCACAGGCCTTGGTGAATCACCGCATTGCGACCAAGAGGTGGGTGCTCTTCGTCCGATATCCGTTCAAGCTGACCCGTGCAGCTCGGTCAACGCAACCCTGACGCGCGATGCGGAGCTCACCAGGGACCTCGCAGCACGGTTCAATCTCTCTGTCACTGCGTTTGGGGAGCTGCTCACCCCCGCTGGGGCCGCCTCGTTTGGCTCTCTCTCTCTCACCACGATAGATACACTTGAGCCCGCGCCTATCTCGCCGTCGGACGCACCGGCGTATCGCCTCCTGGCGGGTACCATCCGCGCCACCTTCCACGCTGTGCACAAGGATGAGGAGAAGGAGATATTTGTCGCTCCCACACTGATGGCAGGCAATACTGGTTTGTGCCCTCCTTTGAATAGGAAGGGAAGGCTGATTCGCCGGTGTAGACACGCGCTTCTACTGGTCCCTTTCGCAGCACATCTTCCGCTACGACCATTCGAGCATCGTTGGTGAGGGAATCGGGGAGGTCCACACCGTGGACGAGCGTATGTTTCTTTTCATCTCGTATCGCTGTTATTTCGGTTGAGCTGATATCCACGCACAGATTTCCGTGCCGCTGTACTTGTTGAGATGATCACCTTCTTCACGACGCTAGTCCTCAACGCTGACGAGGCCGCGCTGTAGATTCACGTGTCCTATGTAATGCAAAAAGTGGAAATACTGGTTGTCCCTATGAGGCATCCCTTCTCCTTAGCTTCTTTGACCTTGCTCTCGACTACCTCTGTCTACCTTGCTTCTTCCGTCTTGTATTTACACCGCTTTTATTCCTGTCATACTGCACTGTTATACACGCCGTGTCGTCCAAATCCTGGACAGAAATGACTCGACACCGGGCAGTGAATCGTGGCGACACTTCGGCCACGTATTTTGTGCATTTGAATCTTACACGTTGGTACACGTTGGAAACTTGGGACCCCGGGCCTTCCAGCGCCGCAGCTGGTCCCTATATATAAGAGTCGCCTTGGCGCAGGAAGCTGCAATGCCGACAGCCGCCATCACCGACGCCTGGGTGCTTGTCTATGTTTCTGAGCGCTTGCTCTCTCCCAAATTCATCTGGGATAAACCCACTACGCTGGCGATGTCCCGTAGACGCGGCCCAACTCCATCTCTTCCTCCAGAACTGTGGATCTACATTCATCGTCTGGCTTTGTCGACTCTATCACCCCTGGCCAAAATCTACGCCAGCAACGATACAATTATTAGGAGCGGCGCGAAGCCGGATGACCCAGTGAATGACCGGAATCTGCAGCTTTTCTTGACGGTATGCGTTGACTTGCCCTAGATCTATGTTCTCATTCCTCTCAGGCCGCACGTTCACTTAGGTGTGTTTGTCGGTTATGGAGTGAGCTGGGGCTTGAGCTTTTGTTTGAGAACATCTGGGTAAATAGCACCAGACGGTGGCCCTCGCTCTCAAGCGGCCTCCAGCATCCAAATGTCGCGCATCTGGTGCGCAGCATCCGCCTTTCCACAACGCGTTTCGACCACAATATCGACGTCTTGCGGCGTTGTCTGCACGTCGAGGTTCTCGTTCAGCCCGAGTTTCCGCGTACAGAGCGACTGTACAGCGCGGCTACGGCCCAGCTGCCCCAACTCCAATCTCTCAAGCGGCTTTACTGGACTGCATCCGCATGGTCGTCTGCCCTCCTCCAGAGCGTACTCTTCGCTGCGCCAAACTTGGAGCATATCTCCCTCTCCAGCTCTACAACTATCGGTTTTGACCCCGCCACGCAACCCACATTTCCCGATCTCCCCCGCCTCAACTCACTAGTGCTTGTGCAGCTTAACACCGAAAGTGTACGTGCGATCCTGCGCACCGACCTGAGCCGCCTCACGCGTCTTACGATCGACCCCGCGCATCTTTCGTGGGACGCCTTCCCCGTTCTCCCGGCGCTCGAGATGCTGGCACTCCTCGAGTACTCCAGTCAGCTGCCCTTCCCCGCCATCTTCGCCTGCTGTCCGGCGCTGCGCGAGCTGCGGTATGACGCCCTGTGTCGGTTCATCCCACCAGAGGAGAAGCAGCGCGCACCTTTCCTCGCCCGTATACGGTTGTTTCTCCGGCGCCGGATGACGCTACCGACCCAGGCGCAGGCGCAAGCCGCCTTGCTGCTTGAGCCCGCGTTCAGTGCCTTGGAGCGGGTCATACTGGATGGACCCGGATGGGGCCCCCTCGCCAGTAACGCTCCTTCCAGCGGCGCCGGAGGTACGGCGGTGATGTGGCCCGGGCTGGCTGACCTACTTGCGCGTGGTTGTCGAATAGAGAAGGGTGTCGAGTAGGATTGTCAGTAGCTTCGGATGCTGCTTCGTCGCTCGTGCTTGTTACTCGAACACCCTTGATCTAAAATGCGGCCCGACGGGCAGCCCATCCAACCACGGTTATGCCGCCGACTGTCTTTATCTTGCGCTTGACTTGACTTGCGTAGGAGAGCTGCGCTGCCACCCCGCTCGTGATGCGCTCAATCCTTTCCCGCCGTGGGTTACTGCGAGCGGGAGACTTAAATCAGAGATACTCAAGTGCACTGTAGTGAGTACGTAGAATGACGGAGTAATCGGGTATAACTAATTCTTTCAACACTCGAGGTCATCCGAATTGAATCGAATTGAATCTAAAGTCCACATCAGTAATATTATTATCCATATCCTGGATACTCCAGAAACGCTTGGTGAATCGGGGTGCTTCAATCAAGGTGCGAAGTCGGTGAGTCTGTAGTCTGAGTTGGCAACGGTCGTTTAGGTTTATGTCGGCCAAGATGTTTTAGTTTGCGGGAAAACTGCAAGGGAGATGAACGAACAAATCTCGCGGAGACTCAAATGGAGCCTTCTGAGGAGGACTGAAAGAAAAGGAACAGAGCCAAAACGAACGTGCAATAAAATAAGCGTAGCTCAACCGTGGGAATCCCCATATTCGCGACCCCAGCATAAGGAGAGTGGGATAGAAAATATAGAACATACGGGTTGAGGGCGCCGAGGGACGAGTGTCGGTGCAAGTCGGGGCAGGGGTGGAAAAGCGGGGATGGAGTATGCATAGGTGAGATGGTTATTTTGGAATTGAGGTCAAAGGAGTAACATACAAAGAGGGACGCAGAAGCACATCGGGAGCCTCAAGTTTGCAGATAAAAAGCGATGAGACAGTTAGTGACTCATAGATCAGGATTTACTGAGTACCGAGGAAAGGTTGAACGTCGAACATGGCTTATGGTTTCCGTTGACTTGGCCCTTTGGAAACTGAACACGGAATAAAGAACGACGATGGTCTGATCCAGGTTGAAGCCGCTGAGGGTAGAACGGGTCAGCCTTAGACTTTGTTGGGAAGCGTTGAGAATGCGATGGAACGCACAATTTTTTTCCTAGGTTCGCGGAGTTGAGGACGGTTGAACTAAGAAGAATGCATATATCCGAATGGCCTCTGCCGAGAAACTGGGAGGCCAGTGAGACTGAAAGCGAGCTCGATGTCGAGATCACGTCTGCTCGAAAATGAATAGAGTCGAGTTCGAAGTTCGCAGCGCCTATCGGCAAAAATTTGCTAAAAACGCCTGGAGGACGTACGTACAACTTGAAGAGCACGGTGGACCATCTCGCGATCACCTGCAAGCTCACCAGGGGCAAGATGGCCGAGCGGTTGAGGCGTGTAATCAAGTTGACTCGGCCCACAGAATTGACAGCATACTGAGAAGGGGTGGCAAAAAAGAGTGAAACTGCCCAGAACAGGCGCAAAAAGATGACAAGAGTGGGACTCGAACCCACGCCACATTACGTGATGAGAACCCATTACAGGCAAGCTGTCACACTTGAGTCACACGCCTTAACCGCTCGGCCATCTTGCCCCTGGTGAGCTTGCAGGTGATCGTGAGATGGTCCACCGTGCTCTTCAAGTTGTACGTACGTCCTCCAGGCGTTTTTAGCAAATTTTTGCCGTGCAGCATGCAAAGGAGTAAAGACATGAGAAAATGAACCAGGAAGCGGCTCAGGGAATTTCAACTTTTCGGTTTGCTTGTTTAGTCTTGCGATCACCCATCACGACACGTGCGGCACGTGTGCGTTACCGTTCAACTTCCACCACAACCCACAAGTCGTCGGCTGGCAAGTAAATTTCTTCTTGAAGTCCATCCTGCTGGGTGGGCATGCTGTTATTCAACACCTGGATTCTTCATACCCATCTCTATAGTGGGCTAAATTTCTTCTTTTGTACTTGACGACCTTTCACTGACTCTTCTTGCAGTTCCAACTTCTTTCGATGTTGTAGCAGGTCGGGTAAGTACTTATCCTCTGCGATGCGTGGATTTCCGGTAAATTGAATGTGCGTTGATCGACCGTGCACGGGGAACTGATGTGCGAACTGCTTCTCTTACTCTCGTTCGAGCAACCACCACTCGGACAAATCGGTTCCGCTGTCACCCACGACGTCAGGTGAACATCAGCGCACAGTGAAGAGAGAGAATGGGTCGAGTTCAAGGCCAATCGTGGTGCGCTTTTTGCAGCGGTTTAACTGGCAAAATTCATAAGAATGCTAGGCAGCCCACCGTACCTCATCCGCTTGCACTCCACTACGGCCTTCGCACCGGTCCACCGAACTTCCACGTGACATTGGACGTTTATTGAACCTTGGGCGATGTCGAGAAGGCCCATTCAGGCAATTCACAAGTTCCGGTTCCATGAATGGAAATTTGCAATGCATCAGAGATTTATGGCGTCATTTTCCTTCCCCACCGCGGGTTGTCTTGCAGCGGGATCGTCGATAAGAGCAAGACTGCTCTTCCTCTCCTACCATGGACTTTTACGACGAGTTGCCTGTACTTCTTTTGCGCCCTTTCTTTGCAATACCTAAATTTTGAGCAGCATGCTCAGGCGCGCTACGAGGACAATGTCGGTGTTCCCATTTATGCAATCGTTTTTATTTTATTTATTTTCCCATATTGTTAGCGCGACCACCCCAGAACTGCTTCGCAAGACCCAGATCCACGGCACCTCTTTACGCCTAGCCCACCGCCCACTCAACAATTCCGGTTTGACTTTGTTGCAGTGCCTAGCGCCCCGTATCTTCTACGTGGTCGTGACGACACGGAGCTTGTTTCCGAAGCTGAACGGGTACCTCCTCCGCTCTCTGCTCATCACATCGCATTTCTCATGCTGGTCGGTGAATGCAGAAAACCGTACTTGGGCGCAAACACAAGCGGGAGGAGATTCTAGAGGATGATGAGGATGAGAGTAGTGATGCGGGAGAATATCTACCGAAGGCGTCGACCCAAATCACGGTACGTTTCTCTCAGCTGTTTGGCATTTCTTCACTCATTATGGTTTTCAGCGTGTCTCTAACCGTGGAAAGCTGTCCAAAGGCGCCAAGCCGGATAAGAGAAAGGTGCCGTGTTTTTGAATCTACAGCAGATGTTATCCTTACCAATTGCCTTCACAGCCGCACCAGAAGGCAGCTGCAGAAAAGAAAAAGACTGTACGATCAGGTGCATCCCACAAGCTCAAACAGCAGATGAAACGCGTCGACGATGCCAAAGAATGGGACGCAAGTATCGTGGCTTTATGGGGTGAAAGAATCTCTGAGCTTGTCGCCTACAAGCAGAAACTCAGTAACCTCCTTTCTACATTGGAGCCCCGCGCACACAGCAGCAAACAGCTATTTCTTCGGGAAGTATTCCATGCTGCGTGCGATCTTCACCAGCTCGAGCGCCTCCCTGCTGCACATCCGTGCTGGACACTATTCACGTCCCCTCGACTTCTTCCTCGCCCTTGTTCTCAGTCTAACCGACGGCGACATCACCAGCGCGATCCAAACGGGAGCCCTCAAAATAAGCCCCGATCCCGACACCCCCGTAAATGGCTGCTTGTCTTACATTCGAATCGGGACGTGGAAACGATTGCGATCTTGGTGAGCGAAGGGAAACAAAAAGCAGTGGACACAACAAGGGAAACACGATAAGAGGCCCGAAAGCAGAGCGACGGCGAGAACAAGAACGAGAGCACCCGGGAAGCGAGAGCGAAGATGAGGCCACCAGGGCGTGGAGGACAAGCTATCGATGCACTGCGCATGCCGTCGTCAATCTCCTGAAGCGGGAATGGGTCGGGAGATCACGTTGTGGATTTGTGGTGGTGATTACAGTTGGGCCCTGAGGGGGAGAGGGTAAGCGAAAAGCAGGTACATTACTATTGATACAAAGATGCACACATCGGCCGTTTGAGTTGGTGGTGGGTTGGGGTCGGCGCTGGGTAAGAGGATAGGCGGCGGGGAAAAAGTGCGGTGTCGGTATCGTGGAGTCACGCGCCGAGAGAGTTATCGCGGACGTTGGATGGTGACGTGCGGAGAGGAGGCTGCGGCGAGGGTCTCAAAATCGATAGCCTGAATTTCCTATGTGGACAAAGGAGCACATACCCAAGGACTGAAACAACGATAGAGGATCGTAAGGCGCCGGCGAGAGGACGCCCGACCGGCGTTGGGAGGAGTTAACGCGGAGAGGCGGAGGCAGGTATCCACAAAAGAGTGTCTGCAAGGTTGTCAGCTGCGATCGAGAACGGGTAGTGCATCGCAATAGGCCAGTGGAGGAGGACCGGCGGTGGGGGGGGGATTCGAGAGAGATGGAGGTGTCGCAGAGGCGATAATCCACGAAACGGTGTAAAGCCGGGGCTGCAGAGGGAGGTAAAGCATCGTCGTGTGCACGCAAAGATGAAGCAGCTCGTACTAAGAAACATGCGAGCCGCCTGCTTACCCGGGTCAAGCAATTCTATCCAAGCAAGCAGGTTGTTCGAGTCAAAGCAAATTCCGGGTCGAAGCATATTTCTTATTCAAGCAATTTCCAATCCTTAAGCAAGCACACCGTTGGGCACGGTATTTCTCTGCTTGAAAGATAGACGGGGATGCATGGGGAGGACACGTGCATAATCAAGCACAATTCTGGGTACGTGTATCTTGGAACCGGAACTCTGCAGCGAGGGGATGGAGGGTAGAGGACGTACATATCCAGCACTAGTCTGCACAACACGGTAAGCGAGGGTACAAGGCAGCAGAACCTTTGAATCATGATCCTGGCAATGTTGTAGCAAAGTGTCCCGAGGGTGGTGGCACATCTGCTCTAGCGACGCGATCGAGATCTGCGCAGGCTGGAGGATGGGCAGCGCCTTGGGCATTGTCCTCTTCTTTTGTACCAGCGGCTCAACAGCGGCTTGAAACGGCGGTGCGGTTCGAATTCACTTCGACCTCGAGCTATTGCTTGTTCACGCTGACCCCGGTGCGCCGCCATGGCCTTCACGTGGAGTGCATTAAAATGCATGGGAAACCAGACGACCAAGGAATCAGCCCAAGATAAGTCAAATCCAGTGTGTAGCATCGACAAAGAAAGACCAAGCGTGCTTTGTTGTAACTTGATTCGGCGCATGGTCGGCCGACTTCGGAGACTACTGCAGTCTTTTCCTTATCCAGGATCCTTGCTCAAGCACGCAGGTTTGGATGTATCAAGGTGCTCCCGTTTTCTTTTGTAACTGAATTCAGGCGTAAACCTTTGAGCATTTTGGGTGCACTGCCACTTCAAGCTTAGACAACCGATCAGGAACCAGCCTCTGCGAACCGGAACGAAAGGTCTTCACTGAATCCTCCAAAGAACCTAATGCCAGGAAAGTAATACTCAATCCGGTTCGTCAAGTCTTCCACCAACGTACATGCTTTAGTACATGCGGACAACCCGACAATCCGAATTTACGAGTGCGCCCGTATTCAAGCAGGTTTGTATCATTGTCTTCAAACGCAATCTCCTTCATGTATATTTTCTGAACCGCCGTGCCCATCGGAGTACTTTGTGGCTCTTCCAGATAACCAACCATATGCCCGCGAAGGTTGTCTTACTTCAGTGGGTTCCGTTGTATTCCCGAGCCCATGCTTGCTGGGTAAAATCCCCGTAAAGAATCTGCCAAAGCTGCGCAGCCTGCGCGACACGCGAAACTGTTATCCGAAGCATGGTTACCGAGACAACTGCATGCTTGTAGGCAGTACACTCTCGCAACCGCTCATGCAATGATGCATAAGTATAATGCAGGTCGCTCACCGACTTTTCACCATTCCCTCCTCGCCGTCAACCATGCGCTCCGCGCTCCTGACTCTCGCCTTCGCAGCCTCCGCTTGCGCGGCATCGTCCAAGCGCGACTGGACGGGCTCCCTCATCACACTGAACGGCCCAACCGGGACAAGTGCGCAAACCTTTGAGAAGACCGTCGACACCGGCCAAACCTGGTCGGACGACGCCGGGAGCGTGCATCTGGGTGCTCCGGATTCCGTCGGCTTCCGGCTCACAGGCCAAAACCAAAGCTCGGTGATCGTGCAGGTGTGTAATTCTGACCGCGAGCGGTCAATCATGGTCACTCAAATCGCACGCAGAACAGCGTCAACGGCACGCACGGAGTCTGGTATCACAGTCCCAAAGGTCGATTATTTCTGTTGATCATACTCACTTGTTGCTCACGATACTCCAGATCCGTTCAACTTCGGTTTGTACAACAACGACATCGCACCTAATGTGCCCACCTAACCCCTCTAGTTAGAGAGGGAACACCCCCCCCCCCTTCCCTCTCTAACTAGAGGGGATAAGGCGAATTCACGGGAATCCCCTATATCCCCCGTGTGGGGACTTAGGGGATTGCCCAAGGCCGTCCACCAACTACGGCGGGTGGTGGCCACTGCCTCTACAGAGGTCACTGCCCTCCCCGCCGCCCTCCCCGCCGCCCTCCCCGCCGTCTTCATTGCCTGTCGGCACCGCCGTCGTCACCGCCGACTCCGTCCCTAGCGCCACTGCCATCACGGGTGCGCGCTGCCATCAAACCGCCTCCCCAT